AGTAGAAAAACGGAATTTATTTAAAATAGAACTTAAGAAAAAATAATAATTTTTAACTTTGCATAAAATAATTTATTCTATTTATAGCGATGCTTCAATTATTCATTCTCTAATGTGTGCACATACCTTTCATATATTTTTCAACTGTCAATGAGTTATAACAGTTATGAAAACAATTGTTGATCAGCAATACGGCTTGCGCTGAAATGTCAGTAGGATATGATATTGAAATTTTAAATTCAAAGAATTTTGGCACCAAAATCTTTGTAGAACAAAACATATAAGTTCATTTCAAACGAAGAGTAAAACAGAGAAGAGCAGTGGATAATTCAAGAAAAAAAAGCTAAATCAAAAACACAAATTTTGTAATATAAATTATCATATCATATGCTATCACAACTAAGACTGTTGAAAAACAAAAAAATACAAAATAGCTAACAATAATACGGTACAAAGCAAGAAACAAAAATTAAGAACCCAAAAGCAGGCAATAATTCAAAAAAATATGTCCGTTTTATACCAATGAAAAATTACCGCCACTCCAACTATCCTTTTACCGCCTATCCGTGTAACCTTTCAGAGAAATTCAACAAACCATTATTCATCGCTTACAGTCGCTCTTTCCGAATGAATAATAATGCAGAATTTTCCGGATATTAACCTGTAGAATTCCACCAAAATCGATACCAAACGACAAAAATAGCGAAGGAATTTACAATCAAAGGTGTTGCCAATTTCTTTCTGATAGCAACAAAGATAGAAGAAGGCTGTTTCTCCTCTTTGATTCTTTTCTTATCTCAAATTCAGGTAATTAAGTCTTTGTTTATGAAATGTTTGTTACAACAACGAATCCAGAATTTCAATAATAATTTTAATAACGATACCAGTTATCATCCAACACCTGAAAATTTAAATAAAGAAAAAATGGAAGCAATAATGAATAGCATAGCAACTGATTAAAGATGATCAAAAGATAAAAGAGTTTTACTTTTATGAAAAAAATTAGCATAATAAATCCAGAAGTTCCGAAAATTGAAACGAAACATTACCATCACAATTCGATATAGAATGATTACACGTAATTGTCTCAACGAATATTCATCTCAACAAAGCTGATTAATCGAATAAAACTTTAAGAAACAGAAAATGTTAGAAATTGAGTACTTCATTTCTTACCTAAAAACTAAAAATGCTATGCGATTAAAATGGGTATTGGTAATAAAGAAATTTCACATACGAAATTAACTTTGTGTGAACGACAAAAATACTATACAGAGAGAGAATATAGCAAATATTATTTTAATAACAAAAGTAAAAGTGTGATTATTGGTGATCACTTGGAATATTATGGATACTTTAATCTTATCAAATACTTCTGAAAAATTCCTTTGTTCTACTTATTATGAAACCATTCATAGACGGTATTATTGAATGAATAAACATTCGGCGGGGATTTTGATGCTTTGACATTTTTCTATTTTCTAACTTTTATATCGATATTTTTGACTACAATATTTAAGTTTTAACTAAGTTTTAATTAAGGCTATAAGACAATGATTTATATAATAAACATATTCTTATTTACCTAAAACTTTTCCTTAGTATTTATATTTCTGTGCCATGGCATATTAGTGTCAAAATAGTCTATGGAACCCATTTATTATCTATTTTTCATTTTATGGTTTATTTTCTTATTTAGCTTTCAGTGTCATTCCTTCTCGTTCTTTCTTTTTACCTTTTTCTGTACATTACTAATATAATTCTTTGTTTACAACTCACCTTTTTCCTTTTTATCACTAACTTTTTTTCTTGGAAAAAATTCTTTTTTCCATGCCACTTTACATTTGTTTATTATATTTGTCATTTCGCAAAATCTCTTTTTTTATATTTTTTATAAAGCTCACTTATTTTATGCTTTTTATTGATTAAATCTTAATTCATGAAAGTTTTTTTTTCTAAACATTACTTCTTTTCACTTTTTAATCCTTCCTTTTTAAATTCATTTTAAAACCTGTCTCTTCGCTAATGTTCAGTCTTTTCTTATGGCCCACATTTTTTATTACTTCTTTCCAAGTGTGACATTTTTATACAACCAAATTTAAAAAAAAAAAAAAAAAAGAAAAAACCAAAATTAAACAACGACGCCATAACTGCTTACTCTAAAGCACGACTAATTCCAAAAAACGTAAAATTAGTAAAAATATTATTAATATTATTCATCTCCAATTATTTACAGCCACTCGTTGCTACTTGTAAATATTTTTAGCTGGAACCACCTGCCACTGTAACCACTTCGCAACCACTTGATACTGTATCCATTTACAGTACCTGCTGTTGTAGTCACTTGATACCGTAATCACTTGCAGTGATTTCAACTGCTCATTTATTATAATTTCAGAGGTGGAGAAGAGTTTGCATGCCTTTGCGAAGTTGTTAGTTATGCTGGCGGTGGAAGTGGTATTCGAAAAAGGATATTCTAAAGAGACCTACACCTGATGATTTTATTGCCTTCGTCCAATGTTTTTGAATCTTTCTGATCCATTTCGAGCATTCTCCGATTGATTTAAAAAAACCTTTGCGCAAGCTCGAAAGATAACCAATTTATTACTTAGACTACAATTTCAGAATAAATTAAACTAAGAGAAACTGTGTTCAGTGAAGTTGATTGTTTTTTCAAAAGATTTATAGGTTTGTTAATTTCTTTTTTTTTTTGGAAATAACTCAATGTAATCTAACAAGTGCTTAGTGACTTTATATCAATAAAATATTATTTATGTCATCGAGATGAATTGTCATAAAATTTCCGTCCGATATTTTCTCATTATCTCCGCCCATGTAATCAGCAACAAGGACTTAACCAAATTATGCATTTCTTGTCATTGTCACAGGCCATAATTAATCCTTCAAACACCTCATTTGCAAATCAACTTAGCTGCCCACAATATTTTGTAGTAATTAGCTGCTTGCCTTACAATATGCTGAGTCCTCTAATTATAGGTGTTTACTTCAATAATTGCAATTTCGTCTTTGCGTAAATTGAAATTAAAAAGAAATATATGTGGGGAGATATTTTAACAGTTTTTTTAACATATAAATTTGTTAAAATAAAACAAATGAGAATTTCAACAGATGACTGATGGCTTACCCATAACAGCTTCATAAGCCTATAATTTTATTCAGTCTATTGTTCGACAGCTATCGCTTTTTTTCCTTTCGCTTCTTTTTCTCGCAGAATCAATTTGTGATTTGGAAAAATAGTCGTTTTAGCAGGAAACTGTGATGATTAAGTGTAAGACATAATAATAGTAATAATAATAATCGACACATTATTGTTATACTGTACTATGATAACAATCAGTTTTCATGCGAGAATCTTATAATTTTCAATAACCCAAAAATTGAGCACTGAATTTTAAAGAATAATAATTATTTCTTTGACTTGTGACTGACTGATCGTTTTGAGAAATTGAAACCATTTGGAATGGTAAAATAGATGCTTGAAATGAAGTTTCAGTGGGCACACTTACAAACTTTCATATGAGAAAAAGCAAGTCGAAGTTACATCTTAATTCTTAGAGGCAATAAAATAATTCTATTTTGATACTGATGATAAGATTTTAACGCTCTTATCACTTACCATGCTTTTAATATCGTTGAAAGCATATGTTTCTGTGGCAACCATATTAAAAACATCCATGTAGTTTCTCTTTCATGCTTATTAAAAATTAACTTCTAATTTGATAATTTAGGTAATTAAATTTTTAATCCCTATCGCTGAACTTCTAATTTAATAGTTGAGGTAATTAATTTTTTTTTTTAATCCCACAAACAATACTCACTTAGTAACGTGACACTGAAGTAAGAAATGTCGTTTTAAACAACTCAGTTTTCCTGATAATCTATTTGACTTGGAATTTTAATATACAAAATTAAAAGAAATTGATCATTTTTTCAAAAAGTTCCTTTTATATTCGAGTAGTTTGCAATGTCTTTCGTAGTCTTTCGAATTTATGAATTTTTGATAATATACGATTTTGCTTAAATAACACAATAAATTCAACAAAAACGTTATTTGCTTGTTTTTATGCTTTTACCCTCTGTAATACTGTATTCTATGCAACTTCAGAATCTGAAAATCTTACCTTTATTTACCTGTACGATTCTGTTTCTTTCAGTGTTTCAAATTTTGCTCACTTCATAAAGATACGTTTTGGTTTTGCAGAAAATGAATAGAACGTATGGAGAATATTGTGCTGAAGCATATCATTTACAAACGAATTTTCTTTTCCAATCGATTCAGTTTTTTTTCGTCCTTTTCACTACTACAGGAATTATTCTTATGCTATATATTTCTATCAATATGATCACAAAGAAGGTCAAACTTTTACACAAAGTTTATTTTTACATTGTAACCTTAATTAGATTGCAATTGGCTCATATTTTTAATTGTGGCACTAAAAATTTAAATTGTATCTTAATTTGGCAGAATGATGTGTGAATTATTCTTCACATTATTAATTTGTGATTCATCTCACATTTAATTAGTTACAGTTTGATTAGATTACAATTTTATAGCTTTCAATTATTATTTATAAGATTGAACCAGTAATAATTTTGAGCTATCAGTCAATTACCTGCAATAATAAAATTTTATGCAATAGAAAAAAACAGCAGCGTGAACATTTCAAACTGACCATTTTGTTTTTTTCAGATATTTCATATAAATATGAGAATTTTACTGATAAATTTGCTGGCTTTATTGCTTTTCCGATCGTTTGTAACCATTTTTCGATCTTCAACTTTTATCTACCGTATGTTGGCTTACAAGGTTGCATTTATCTCGAAATTAAAATAAATCAAATTTTGCATTTATGCCTTCTATCTTCAATTGCTTTAAAATTCTATGACAAATTAGCTCCGTAAACAAATTTCCAAACAAGAAATCAATCAGATAAAACTCATATCAGCTACACAACTTTTAGGATCCATGTCTGTTTTTGATGGATTCTGTTAAATGCTTCATTCTGAGCAGTTTTGGATCATCGCCTCTGAGGTGCCTTCGATATGCATTTCTTGCGATTACGATTGAGCGTTTTCTTGCTATGTGTTGCTACCAACATTATGAAAAATGGAAATATCCAGTTGCCCTTGCTTTTATGCCACTTACGGTATTTTTTTTTTTTTCAAATATTCATATTGAAATTTGAAAAGTTTTTAACTTTTTAAAGTGACCATTTGAGTTGTTAAATTACACATAAATTCTGTGAAAAACTATTAATTTGTTAAATAAGATAATATAAAGAAATGAATTGCATTTCAAAAAAAAAAAAAAAAATTATAAAATGTGTCAGTGGAATAGAGCACACTAAGTGAAATCGTAAAATAGACATTGAATTAAATTTTAAAAATTAGTCTTTTTTTTTTTAGTGGTTCGAAATAGCATTGAGCATCAGACGTATAGTATTGATACTCTACAAAAGCCAGAACACATATAAAAGTTACTGTTCATCGATTACCAGCAGCCCTATTCCATATCTGAAATTTGTATTGGAAATACCAGTATTAATCGGCATATTACTGTTACTTCTTTTAACACGTATTATCAGCAAGAGAAAAATGATGTTAGAATTATTTTTACGAATTTGAAATCTTAACTGTTACTTAATTAGCAATAAAGAAAGAATGCAGAAAGATTGCATAATGTAAAAAATTTAATTTTTTCCAAGTTTGCTTATAATTATGAATTTGTAACTTAGTGGGTTATATCTTTTAATTTAGTCTTCAAATGCGAGCATCAGTTGATAAGTTATCATCACGATATCAAATCTGGGAAAATATGAAAACGTCGAAGACAATGTTTATAGCAACAATAATGTTTATTATAAGTTCCTTCCTCAATCGGTTTGGAACGCTATTTTTGATATATTTTCCTCCGTCTAACATCTTGAATTTTGCAATTTTCAAAGTAAATAATTGCTGGATATTACAATTAAATTTAAAAAAAAAAATGTATATAATTCTGTAAAGTATTCAACATCAGTGCTGAGGTTCACTGTCTTACTTTGTAAATAATGGCTAATTCTGTTTAACAATAGCTATTGTTCTATCAAAACAAAACAAACAAAGGACCCAAAAAAAGTTTTGTATAATGAATTATATTTTTATTAAATTTGATTTAAGTTCTTTCGTTATAATTTTTAGTTATAATTAAAATATTTGTCATTTGATTACAGGAAATTCTAAGTTCTGTAATTATATTATTTATCAATGCCATATCGATTCTATTGATCATCAGAGTGGAAGAGATGCATAATAAAACAATTAAACGATTACTTCATTTTGGATGCGGTCCATCTAATAGAGTAGGAGAACAGACGAGTCAGTCTTTGGTAGGTCCACGACACATCGAAATTATCGAGCAAATGTGGGAAAAAGAAATTCGCAAATGATTTTTTGAGCTGTCAAAAATTTTCAACAGTTGACAATATTTTGAGTTGTTAGTAGTGCTCCACAGTGAATTGTAAAATTTTCGAATATTCAATTATTAATTCAAATTTAATTAATATGAGAGAAAGTACCAATGTTTCAACAAAATTTTTTGTCTTTTATTTTTATCATTTCATTGTAATATTTCTCATTTTTTCCAATGGCGAAGTTATTCTTCGCTTTGAATAAAATTCTAATATTAGAAATTGCTTTCAACAATTCAAATATTTCGTATTAACTTTGATTTATTGTTTTATAGGCTCATAATAAATATCCAACGGTACAGCTTAATTTACCTTTGTTTGCTGATACTACGAGTGAAACAAATAAACAGTAATTCCCTCTACTTACAGTCAGATATTATCACTGTTTTAAGTTTCATTTCATATTGCGTTAATAGAGAGCGCTAATGTACCTTCTAAAGATACTATTACTTGTGATCGTGTAGTGTACAGTCGGATCCATCATATTCTTTTTCTAAAATCCTAAGGGTGGGATCGGTTAGTTGGAATATCCGATGTATTCTCTACACTTCTCTTCCTATTACTGACATCGTCATTAAAATTATCATTGAAATTGAATTGTATTAACCATTTCATAAATAAAGGTTTGAGATACAAAGAAAAAGAATGAAAGAGGAGAAACAGCCTTCTTCTATCTTTGCTGTTATCAGAAAGAAATTGGCAACACCTCTTTGATTGTAAGTAAATTAGTTATTTTAATTCAGACTTTCCACGAATATTTTAAAGAAAAGCTATGCATTTCAACTATAAACATAAATTTATATATATGCTTCAAAAAAAACTGCCATACACTTAATCTCATAAAAAATTACAATCAGTCGATGATTTCAAAAATTTGATTTGATTTCAAGAAAAATTTCATTAAATCAAAGATATATGATTGATAATTCATAAAGATAGAGTTGCACATAGGAGAATATTGCATAGTTTATACTTTAAGCATTATTATTTTTACAAAGATACTAATTACTGTACTGAAATATTAAATAAAATATTTTAATTACCACAAAGAAGAAAATTATATGGAATAATTCGTTTCATTTCATTTCAAAATGTGTATATAAGTAATTGATGCCATGATGGGAAAATATTATCTTTAATATTTACTAATTGAGCACGAAATAAATGATATCTGATTATTTAAACAATTAAAAAAAGTATTGGTAATAATTGAAATAAAAATATATTTCAAATAAAACATTTGTCATTTTTTTTTTACTCACAAATGGTGAAATGAAGATTTTCCAAAACTGGAAATTTGTCGCACGGGAATAATTTAAATGTAGAAAAATGGAATATAATTAATAAATTTAACCCAAAAACAGAAATAATTGAAATGGAATAGAATTAATAAATTTGACCCAAAAACAGAAATAATTGAATGGAATAAAATTAATAAAATTAACCCAAAAACAAAAACAATTGAAATGGAATATAATTAATAAATTTAACCGAAAAATCAAATCAAAAAAACCAAAAAACAGAAATAATTGAAATTTATTACATGACTATGTGACATATTATGTATATATGAAATGAACAGATGAACTGATAAAGAGGGTAGCAGAATTCATCAATAATGATCAGATCGAGGAATTAATCAAATTATTTTATTATCGTTTCAGTAATAAGTGAATCAAGAAAAAAGTTTATCAATTAATGTAGGAAGAAAGGATATTCTATAAAGTTAAATGTGAAGGAAGAAAGCCTTAAAAATAGTATTTGTACTTCATACAGGTAAATACAGGTAGTATCTAAAGTTCTAATAGAAAGCGATTGTATTTACTTTTTGTTATTTAAAAATGTTAGCAATACCTTACGTAAAATTAAGTTTTTTTTAAGAAAATTTAAAAAAACTAAAGCAAATGAGTCTATTACTTCTGTAAAAGGTTAACATTTGAAAAAATATAAAAATGTATTCCTTTTGTACACCAGTATAAGCTAAAGTTTTATTCAATTTAAAATTACATGAAATGAATTTAACAATGATTTATGTTATTTGCTCAAGTCTAAAATTAAATTAACTTAAATCTAAGCTTTAATTCATACTTTAACTTTTAGTAAAAAAACATTTTTATTATATAAGGTGGTACAAATAAATAATTTAAATATATCATAAAACTGTCCTACTTGAGCACATTTTAAATGAACAATAGAAATTGATAAATCCTTCGTAGCTAATGTAATAATTCTAATACATTTATATTGCATACAGGTAATATCTAAAAGAGTGAGGTTTAACAGATAAAGTCTTCTTGCAGTGAAAACATATTTAAGTGAACATTAGAGGTTGGCGCTATTGTCACTATTGAAGTAATAAAGTAAAACATCAAACTGAAATAATAATTTAATAGAAATCAGATTTAGTCAATGAATTCGGAAAATCATTTATTTTGTTTACTCAAAAGGTATCTCTCAAGGAGCGTATCACAAAATTAAATAGGAATTTCAATCTTCCATAGATTAGCAGAATTTCACCTAAAAAATTGAACAGAAAAAAAGAAATTTATATGGAAAAAGTAAATTTGAATAATTTTTTTCAGTTATGACAAATAGCATAAAATTTTAATTCCCATTTTTCACATTGATATATTTTTTAGTTTTACATCAATTTGATATAATAATAGTGGAATAAATTTGATAAGAAAAACTCAAATAAAAAATGCTTGAATTTTATTTAAATTAAAAAGTGTTCATAAACAAGCTATAGCTAAAATTTTTTGTAATAACAAAAAAGATTTGATCATAAAAATGATATTTGCAAATGACTTATGCGGTAATGTCACATTCTTTTTATACTGCACACGTGTAATTTTACTGAAGCGAAAAAAAAATAATTATTAAAATAAAATAACGAAGGAATAGAGGGTGGATAAGATATTTAGGAAGAAATATTTTATTGACTGATATTTGATCTTCTCGTTCATATGTCATCGCGATCGACTTTTCGGGACATTTCTCAATCTCTTTCTTATTTAAGTAAATCGACGAGTATCAAAGTTATAGGCCTTACTTATTTTACAAAATGTTAGCTGTTTGATAGGCTAACTTCAAATATTATCGATCGATTAGTAGTTGTATCAGTCTAAAACAACAAGCGTTTGACCTTCAAAAACAAATGCAACAAAATCACGAGCAATCTCGACATCAAGATCAATATAATCTTAGTAATCAAATTCAAAAACACGAACAACATCTTCAACTGCTCCAGCAATATCATAATGTATCTGCAAAACTTCAACAACAGGGACAACAACTGCTTCAGCAGCTTCAACATCAAGTGCAACTGATTCAGCTACTACAACAACAGCCTTCTTATCAGCAACAAATTCAAAAACAGCCATCTCTTCTCCAACAACTTCTACAGCTACAACAACAACTTCTTCAACAATATGAACAGCAACAGCTCCTCGAACAACAACAACTTCTAGAACAGTTTATGGAGCATCAAAAACAACTTGTTGTATAAATACTTCTAGAATTTCAGCAAATTTCTAATTTCCTTGAACAACTTTGCAAGCCAGAATCTAATTTCAACAACTTATGCAACAACAACAACAACTTCTCCAACAACTCCAGCAGAAGCAACCTTCACTTCAGCAGCTTCTCCAACAACAACAGTCTATGATTGAAGACCTTCTGAAAAGCAAACAAAGTCTTCTTAAAAATTTCAAACAATAATTGGATTTGCTCCAGCACCAGAAATAAATGTTTTCTTTTTTTTTCTCACGACATATCTGATTTGTACATTTTTATTTTCTCGAAACTCAGTGCAATTTCTTTCTCAAAATTTCCACATGAACTTATTCAGTGATTTCCTGATTCATTAAATCAGAACCGAAGTATTGAAGTATTAATCTAAATAACTACCAATTTCACTCTAACAAAAATTATATTTTACAGTGGAAAAAGAAGTAACCTATGGAAGTATTGCTATAATTACAAAAAATAAGAAAAATATCCTGCAAAAAATTTTTCGATGTGTAAATTTTAATGAATAAAAATTACATTTGAATATTTCGCTTAGGAATTTGTCGAAATTTATTAAATATCCGTATCTAAAACTGTGATTAAAATTATTTTCAATATTAAATATTTATAATCATTTATAATTGCAAAGTTAATTAATTTCTACGTTGAAAATTTGCTTTAGAGTTAATTTTTAAAACTTTTTTTTTTGCATAAAATGTCAAAAATAGTCGATAAAATGTGAGCAGATCAACAAAGATGCAAATAAAAGTAATCAATTATGTTCAAAAAATATTTATTTTTAAATGAATTATATTTTTCCAGCATTGGTAGAATTTAATTGAAACAGAATTAAGAAAAAATAAAACTTTTACAACATTTAATTTATAAAAACTTTTAAAAATTGTCGAAATTTCTTTAATAACCCTATCTAGAATTGTGATTAAAATTAATTTTAGTGTTTAAAAAATAATTGAAATCATTTATAATTGCAAATTTAATTAATTTCTGCATTGAAATTTTGCTTCAAAGTTAATTTATAAAACTTTTCTTTTTCATAAAATGTCAAAAATCCTTGACAAAATATAAGCAGATCAACTATGATGCAGATAAAAGTAATCATTTAAGTTTCAAATATATTTATTTTTAAATGAATTATATTTTTTTAGCATTTTTAGAACTTAACTAAAACGGAATTCGTATCTAGAACTGTTATTAAAATTAATTTCAATATTAAAATATATTTATAATAATTTATAATTGCAAATTCATTTAATTCCTACATTGAAAATTTACTTCAAAAAAGTTTTAAAAATTAACTTTTTTTTCCATAAAATGTCAGAGAATGTAAGCAGATCAACTACAATGCAAACAAAAGTTATCAGTCAAGTTCCAAATATACTTATTTTTAAATGAATTATATTTTTCTAACAACTTTGACATTTTTAACATCTCTAACATCTTTTTGCAAG